GTTCTCGCAGGGAAACAAGGGCTGCCTCCGCAACTTAAGTGAAGACACGGGGTGACCGGGACAACCCGGAGGGCAGGACCTCATACTGATATGCTCGTCCTTCGAACACGAACCGCAGAAATGGTCTGCGGCTCAGAAAGATTGACACATGAAAGTACGCATCCTTCAGGTCGATTGCTGCAAACCAATCTCGGGGACGGATGCACCCGGAGATGCATTTCTGTGTCAACATCTTGAACGATAACCGGCAAAGGGTCCGGTTAAAGACACGCAGATCCAAGATTGGTCGTAACCCACCGCCTTTCTCGGGTAAAATGAAGTAAGGGCTGTAAAACCCTGTATTCTTATCGGCTGGAGGGACCGGCTCTATCGCATCTCCACACTCAAGACAGGAGCATTGGCCGCCTTCACTGTCGTAGGTTGGGTAGCGCTAGCCAGGCACCCAGATACAGTGCAAGCGGGACCAGTGGAACCACCGCCGTACCCGCAGTGGGGCAGCAAGGTGGAACGCAGGGACCCAACTCGGGCAGCTTGTGAGCAGACCGAAGAGGGGTCTGAGTGTGCGGTGCAACGCTTACCTGGTTCCACAGTTTGGCAGATGGTGCGTGAGTAGGGCCTTTGTTGACGCTCTCGAACCGCCCGCTGCTGCCTGCTGGCGATGGAGGAGGATGAGTGTGGTCCGGTGCTGGTCCGTCCGCGACCCTCCGAGCCCTCCTGGGACCCAGGGACAGAGAAAACCGCTCTCTTGTCGAGATTTTCCAGATTCTCCAACCGGCCCTCTTCCGGGGGAGGTGCCTTCACCATCCCCCAAAGAGCAGCTTCTTCCCTCTCTGGGTCACCTGTCCCGGGGCCTCTTGCTCTTTTGCTCACCGCCAGGTTTGACGGGGGCCTGGACAGGTGGGGCTGCCTGCCTACGCCCAGCTCCACGGCGCCGCTTGCTGGAGGCTGCTGCGGATGCGGCGCAGGAGCAGGGGCGGACGCAGGGGGTCGCCCTCTGCGATGAGCAGGCTGGGGCGCTGCGGCCGGCGGACGGGTGGAGGCAGC